TTTGAGCATGCACAACCTTGTCCCACATTGCGATGCATAAAGGAAGTGGAGGAGTTGTTTACAGCTGAAAAGAAAAAGTCGTTGGTGGTGGTTAGTGGTGAGTCAGCTTCAGAAAGGTTGGTAGTTGAAAGATAATACATATAAATATGAGTATGTTGATTTTTTGGTTGGGACAGTGAACTGTGACAATTAGTATGTAGTGTGAATTTGGGATGTATGTCTTTGCTATATATTTAAGCCACATGACTGTTCTGTACTTTACTAAAAAGAATAAATACAGTAGTGCATAATTTAAAAGTAATGAACCCTGAAGTTTTGATTTCAAATCACATCCTCCCTATTTGTTGAAGAGTGTATTACATGGTTTAATGAAACCGCGCAGCTGACATCAGTGCCCTCACTGCAGTTCAATGAGTGATTGTGGTCTGTAAGCATAAATACTGCCATGTCTCCCTGTGCAACAACAATCACTTCCTTAGCGACCTTTGCACTTGTTACGACGCACCCTCTGAGTGCTGTTTCTCCCTCACCATGTGTGTACGTTGTGAACTCTGGCCCTGGCAAACATTAAAGGACAAGCCCAGTGAGCTGCTATCATATGTCCATGTGTCGTGAAAAGAGAGAGCTCGGGGTGGGGGGGTTTCTTTGGCAGAGGGGTTTAGTTTCTTTAAAAAGAGCATTAGTTCTGTTGCCACTGGCCACATCATACAGTGTGTTGATTGTGTCGATGGTCTTTAGCCACTCTGCTGGTTGCTTCATTGGAGTGTAGCACAGAATGGAGCTTCCCCAGCTGGAACATATGAGGCTACGCAGGTGTGACAGCGCAGGTGAGAGCACCGATGGAAGGCATGCCAAAACAATACACAGAAGAAACCTTGCTTGCTTTGAAAGCTTTCTACTAATATGTGAGACATACAGGCCGTGTGCACTCTGAATGCAACACAGTGCAACACAGATAGGAGTAAAAATAGCCTCCATGTGTTGTCACGTAATACTATGCTTTATGTAACTTAAGCAGGAAGTAAAGAGTGTTGCCTGCTAATGGACATAATTCCTCTATATTCTATATATTCCTCTCACATGGTTTGTTTAAACACTTGCATGCATGGGTTATAAGGACGTGGATGGACTTTATGAGCCAGTAAAAGAGCGAGCAACCCTAAACAAAGATACACACATGTTGTGTGTGTGACCTGATTCTGCCAGCTAATCACCAGTGAAATATGAGATAAGATACCACCTTTGAGGGCCTGCTTGCTTTGAAATATCTGGTAGAATTTGTTCATGTATTGTTTTATATTTCTTAAAGAACTCCTCTAAATATTATGTGTGTAGCTAATGTACAGTATGTACGAGAGAGATAATAAGAGGGAGAAATAATGAGAGGAAGAGTGCCAACTCCAATCCCCCATGGCTGTTTTTTGGGAGGACATGCTGAACTGCTGCCAGGACAAGCGGCCACTAGAATAGCATGTACTGTACTTTCTCTTAATGGTCAAACAAATCCCAAAACAGGAAAGACTGACCATTAGTTGCCCAGATAATCATTGCCCAATAGTAACTCCCTGTACAGACTTTGATTAAATTATGTTTTATATTTTTGGTTTATAATTAGTGACATTAAAGTAGTACTGGGACTTTGATACAGAGAACCGCAGCCACATCATTTTTACAAGTGAGGCTTTTTTGTGTTTTGGGATCAGGCAAAATAAGTTTGTATGAAAACACTAGTCATATGTCATAAAGATAAAGAGAGCTGATGTCTCTGGACACATCTGGTCTTCATAAGTATCAAATTATATTCTGCAGTGGAAAGGAACCAGATACATGTGCTGTACAAAAGTTTGACATTTCAATACTCGCTGTTTGTTTGATATGAATCTACAGTCAACAGCTGGTTAGCTTAGCTTAGCATGAAGACAGAATAAACAAGTGAGATATAAATAATTAATAAATATACTTTGTGAGCTGTATAGGTTCTAGAAGTAGTTTTGCAACCTTTTGACATCACTAGGCTAGCTGTTTCCCCCTACCTCCAGTCTCTATGCTAAGCTAAGCTAACCCGCTCCTGGCTCTAGCTTCATATTTAGGAGACAAACTCACTGTCAGACAGCGTTAATGTCAGACAATTCCTCTACGTTCATTTTGTGGTACTAGCACTTTTCTTTAACATTTCTATTTTATGCTACTTCATACATTTCAGAGGATAATGTTATAGTGCATTTGTGAATATTGCTATTTTTTAAATGATCATAACAGTAAAGTAGTTAACATCAGCTCCAACTCCACCAACTACATTTAAATGCTGTTTATATCAGTAATTATAATAGAATTGTATAAAATATACTAAAAGGAACTAATGTGCACAAGAAGTGCTTTTACCGTTGCTGCTAAAACTTGTGTAATTTTGCATACAATATATTTAATACAGTATATTTATATTGTGGTATTGCCACTTTTAATGTAAATGATCTCATCATTTATTTCATACATCATCATAATCGGCAATCAAAATGCACTGAATACATCTGTCAAATTAATTTCACTGGAAATGTATCCACCATAGCTTTTTGTTAGTTTTTCCACCTTGAAAAGAGCTGTCTGTGTGGGTTACTCTCTGCTAAAGCTGTGACCTGCTTTTATGAATGACAGCTTTACTGAGGCTAGTTAGCTAATTGGCTGAATTTAGAGAAGTTCAGTTTCCACATGCGCAGTACATCTCAAGAGTTGGGGCAAACAGCATGACTAACTTGTTGCTTATGTGAGTGCAGTGAACTGTCACTTCCTTGAGACGCCCAGATTTAAAGTTAAGGTTTAAACTGCCATCTAGTGGTAAGAAAGGAGAAGCTCCACTCTACACTTCTCAGTTTGATAAACAAACAGCTTGTTCAGTACCAACTGTGCTCATCTGAATTCATGAGAGGTTCCCAGCTTTGTTATACTTGTCTCACAAGACTCTGTTGTTCTTACTCTGACTGAGAAACCAGCTGTGTCACCACAACACATGCACCAAACAGTGGATTTGGATGCTTCTCTGCTTTCTGACATCACCACAGAGATTTTGGCAGCTCCCCTCAGGCCTTTTAAATCATGAAACAGATGGAGAGGCAGACAAGCAGCATGGCCTCAGGTCCTCCCCCTCCTGCCTACCAAGTGCTTCTCCTTAGCAACAGTCAGCTGACCTGCACTAGGTAGTGTTCAGTGAAGCACACACATGCACACGGATCACAGAGCCGAGAGCCTCAGCCATTCACGCTCACTCCTCCACCTGCCACTCAGGCCTCATGGCTCTCACCATTAACACATCCACAGAGCAGAAAAACTCACTCACACAGACTCCTCTGCTCAAGATCTGGGTGCCATGGATGGGCTGCAACTTGAACCGCAGGAGAGGATGTAAGTGCAGTGACACTAGCTTAAGTAGATGATGATACATTACCTATTCTGTCTTGCTGCTACTTTAACTCACTTCTTGTTTCAACGGGTTTGCTTTAACATTTCTAACAGTCTTAGATGTGTGTCAGACTGCCTGTGGTGAAACCTCTTCTCTTGTTGCTTCAGGACTGAGCTCAGTCCTGTCAGGGGATGCAGGTAGGCAGGCAGCAGTCTGAGAGACAGAGGAGTCAGCCATGGATGACAGCCAGGCTAGACCAAGCCAGGTCCGAGTTGGCTCTCTGTTCAGTGTCTGACGTGGTCCTCTGAACATTTTGCTGACACAGCATGCTCCATTCATAATCGAACAGCCTGGAGGCTGACACTCTCCCTGTCCTTGTATAGACACACGCACACAGGCCATCCGGGTACTTTACGGGGGTACAGTTAACTGGCAAGCAACCCTGCAGTCTGCCTTATAAATTACTGGTATTCTTTTTACCAGACAGACAAGTATGCAACAACTGGGTCATGACTGGGTAAGAAACACAAAAATGCTTTAAAATTATCTTCAAAAAATGTTAGGTTTGTGTGGAAACTTATGAGCAAGGAATGCTGATTAATCTCAGAGATGAGTCGGTTTGTAACCATCTGCAGGATAGAGACTTTTAAGACACTTGGAGATTAGGAGTGTCTTGTTCTTGTGATTGTCAACCATATGGCACAGTACAGGTGTTGCTCTGGTGGTTTCTATGATGTGACTACCTGAGGATGAGGAGGAGCATCTGGTTATTAAAAGTTCTTCTTCACTTCACTTTAGGGGTGTCTTTGACTATTTGCATTTCATTTTTTCCTCCTTATGTGTCTGTTTATTTGATTTTGTTAGTGATTGTTGGGATAGTTTTCTGTGTCAAGACAGGCAGCCAAACAGACAGATAAGCTGTGTGACTCTCTACACTAGTTTGCAGACATTTGAGCTGCACCTTGGAGCTCTTATTCTCTCTCTTAATGAAGATTACCTTGGCAGCGACACACACACACACACACACACACACACACAACACATGTTCTGCAGCACAGAGAGTTGTGCATGCCTCGGATTGCGTTTGACCATTTGAACAGGAGGCTAATGCTCTTCCTGCTAAATGATGTATCGCATTTGCAACAGCGACGTTTCAGTATCAGCTAATAACTACTGCTTTATGTTACTGTGTGTTTGTCTTCATCTCAGCCTCGGTGCCTCAGTTCTGTAACTCTCCCACAATGATTGTGATGGTGGGATTGCCAGCCAGAGGGAAGACCTACATCTCCAAGAAGCTCACTCGCTACCTGAACTGGATCGGAGTACCTACAAAAAGTCAGTTTCCAAAGTGAATCCTTGAATCCTGATCATATAAGTGTATTAAAAAAGGAATCTATATTCTTTAACCTCTCTGTTTCCCTGATCCTACCAGTGTTTAACGTGGGCCAGTACCGCAGGGAGGCTGTCAAGATCTATAAGAACTTTGAGTTCTTTAAACCAGATAATGAGGAGGCCATGAGGATCCGCAAGTAAGGATGATAAATGTCACACAGACAGTTAGAATATTACGGAAAATATTTGAAATGAGTCACCTAATGCTCAGAGTCATAATGTGTAGCAGCCTTTTGAGTTTTATGTGTTTCATGACACATTCATTATTCACTCATATTTTGCAGTGTTTGCTCCTTTGCCTATACGAGTGTAACTTCTCTCTCAGGGCCTGTGCATCTGCCGCCCTCAAGGACGTCGCTGTCTACTTCACAAAGGAACAGGGACAAGTAGCTGTGAGTAAGAGGACAACTGAAACTGTCCCTCTAATCACAATAACACTGATTAATTATTAATTTTGTTGTGTAAGTGTATATATGTTTTACTTCCTCAGTCAGGTCTCACTGAGATTAAACACACAAAGATCAGCTTACTAGTCATATAGAGAACTACTCTCGTCTGTGAAAACAAATGTATAATGTCCTTCTAAAATCTGGAATCTTATGGGAACTGTATGATCCAGTGTTTTTGGGAGTGAAAAACCAGGGTATCTCATCCTCTGTGGCACAAATTTTCAGCATACCTGTCTCTCCCCCAACTATACTAAATCATTAGAGTTTCATTCATTTTGGAGAGGAGCATCTTTCTTCTCAGTCACTAAGGCATTCTGTGTATTGCCATATAACTGCATTGTGTAACTGGAAAAAGCATTTAGCAGTCACTTGGGGTCATACATAGTTAAAAACACATTATTATCAAAAAGATAATTAGCAAGTGAGACAATAATAAATGTAAAATGTATTTAATAATATATAACATCTTTAAGACATGTGCCTTAATCTATGATGTTATATATAGCATTATGTTATATTAAAGTGTGTAACAACACAATATGTTCTCTTATAATTCAGATTATGGATCATTATGAGTTCTGTAAATGTACTTTATCTGTCAGTGTTATAAGGATGTATTGACTAACATCTGGGTCCTGTCCCATCCAGGTATTTGATGCTACCAACACCACCAGGGAGAGGAGGCTGATCATTATTAGTTTTGCTAAAGAGAGGGGATACAAAGTAAGTACATATGTGGAAGTTGGACATTTATGTAATGTGCTTATCCGCTTTCTTGCCGAGAATTGGATGCAGTTAAATATGAAGCTACATTCAGCAGGCGGTTAGCTTAGCTTTGTATACAGACTGGAAGCAGGTGGAAACAGCAAGCCTGGTTTTATCCAAAGGTAACAAAGTCCTCAGTAATTAACACGTTGCATCTAATTAGTTTAATGCCTACAAAAACCAAGGTGTAAAATGTACACGCTGTGGTTTTAGGGGCAGTAATATATGTGCAGGACTATTTATTGGCCAGGTGCCATGACTTACTGGACTCTACGCTGGTTGCCTGGTAGACTCACAGTGACAACAGGATTCCAGACTCTAGCTTTTGTTACCTTTGGACAAAACCAGGCTCGCTGTTTCTCTCTGCTTCCTTTATGCTAAGTTACCTTTACCATCCACTGGCTGTATAGTTTCATATTTAACAGACGTGAGAGAAAGAAAGAACTAGAAAAACACTTGTTTTTCAAACTGTGAAACTCTTTAAAGTCAAGAAAAACATATGCTCAAAAGAAGAAAATAAAGGATATATTTCAGCTATTTAATAATTTTTTATTTGAACTTCTTGTGTGCAGGTGTTCTTTGTAGAATCAATCTGTGATGATCCAGAAATCATTGCGGAAAATATTAGGGTGAGAAGCAGCTCTACACCACCTCAGTCAATGTTTTTTTAATATAAATGTTTGCAAAAGCTCACATGTACTGTTCTTAATTAAATTCCAAATCTGTCTTCCCTTTGCAGCAAGTAAAATTTGGGAGTCCAGATTACGTGGATCGTGACATAGAGGAGGCCAATGAGGACTTCATCCAGCGCATTGAGTGCTACAAGGCCAGCTACATGCCTATAGACGATGACAAGGACAGGTACTGACTCATGATGCTTTCCTTTGTGTGAGATTAAAGAGGGAATTGGATGGCAGACAGTTTTTTTCCCACATAATTTGTGAAAATTAATTTCATAGTTTGTTTTCCCCGATGCTGACTTTGAACAGGAAGCTCTCTTACATCAAGATCTTTGACGTGGGCAGTAGATACCTGGTGAACCGGGTTCAAGACCACATTCAGAGCAGGATAGTCTACTATCTCATGAACATCCATGTCACACCGAGATCAATCTACCTGAGCCGCCACGGAGAGAGCGAACTCAACCTATTAGGTCGCATTGGTGGAGATTCAGGCCTCTCACCTAGAGGACAGAAGGTGAGTAGATTACACTATGGAGAAAGAGTTAAATCCTTTTATTGACACGTTTTAAAGCAATAAAATATTAATTCAAAGTATTTAACATTTACAAATGGCAATCATTGTTCTCAGTATGCCAATGCCTTGGCGGTCTTCATCAAAGGTCAGAATATCAGTGACCTGAAGGTGTGGACGAGCCACATGAAGAGGACCATCCAGACTGCAGAAGCTCTGGGAGTCCAGTATGAACAGTGGAAGGCCCTCAATGAGATAGACGCTGTAAGTTTATCTTAAAACATAATCCTTATAATGCATATTCTAATGTTGTGTCAATACTTTCATGGTTGAATGCATTGGAGGTTGTGTATTTTGGGAGTTATAATACAAAGAATATTCACACTCCAAATTATTTAGGTTAAGTTTAGAGTTGTAAAGCCAAACGATCGCCTGTTCTTTTTTTTAATTTTAATTTTATCATGTTAGTTTATTTAGCAGAGACAGTGCACACTGATAAAACACTGCTGTAAATGTGCCATCTGTAGTCCCTGGACAGATGTTGCAAAGACACCCTAAAACATATCAGAAGTTACTAATTTATATTATATTTAGTTATTAATATCATTTATAAGCACACAGAATAATAATAATAATAATAATCATTAACATCATTCTGGACACCCTTATACTACATTTTCAGGTACTATTTAAAACATGCACTACAGAGGCTCATAATAACAATAAATTGAGGAGTGTTAATGTTAATATACTAAATAAGACAACATTTCTGCATTGTTAGACACTTACTGAAACATGCAAAGCAAAAGCAGATACAAAAAGCATGCAAATATACATCAATCTGACAAAACCACAGTAAAAGACATGGTGATGTTAATGTCACTTTTTCTCACTAAGGGTGTATGCGAGGAGCTAACCTACGAGGAGATTCAGGAGAATTTCCCAGAAGAGTTTGCACTGAGAGACCAGGACAAGTACCGTTATCGTTACCCCAAGGGTGAGGTGAGTGCTCGCCTAAAAATACTGCGACTTTTTTAGTATCACTGGGACTTTTTCAGGAGCTCACTGTGCACACTCAGACAACTAAAGACATAGTCACACCCGTTTCAAAAAGAGGCTGATCTGTTGGCCGGTGAGCACCTCCATTGGGGGTTAAAAGAACAGCATTTTGGGAAATACACTATATGCTGAGAGACAGATCTTTTGCTTAAAGCAGCAACAAGGCAGTTTCATTCTGTGTTGATTCTGGCGGCCCCTGTGGACAAAAGTGGTAGTGTTTCCTACCACCTCGTGTCATTGATTTATGAGGGGGCGGCAGTAGCTCAGTCTGTAGGGTTCAAGTCCCACAGACCACAAAATATGGAGTGTTGAGTGTAGCTGGAGAGGTGCCAGTTT